TAGTTTGACTGAATCCAATGGCATAAATGACCCAAAACACTGAATTTGCTTCTTTGCAGTGATCTGTATATATAGTCTATTGCTGTAAATGTGGAATAATGTTTCTAATTTTCAAAATAGCTCTCAATTGTTTTTCTAGGTTTTTTGTTTCATTAATGTCACTTAGATATTAAGCAGCCGTTCTATATATTCTTGTACTTCACAATGGGAGACACTAGTCGCGTACGAGAACTTCAAAGAATCAGACGGCAGAGGTAGCAGTGGAGCAGTCACCTCTAAGGAGAAAGTGTTGGGGAAACTGAAAGGTCTGAAGGTGGGTAACTAACTCAGACCCGATAGACTACACCCCAGGATTCTGAAGGGGATAGCTGAGGAGATTCTGGAGGCGTTAGTGGTGATCTTTCAGGAACTACTGGAGTCAGGGAAGGTCCCAGACCAACAGAAAGTGGCTGATGTAACACTTCTGTTTAAGAAGGGATTAAGGCATAAGATGGTAAATTATAGGCCAGTTAGGCTGACCTCTTTTCTTGGTAAGATTTTAAAATCCATTATTAAGGATGAGATTGCAGTGTTACTTCAGAATGCATAGTAAAATAAGCCTAAGTCAGCACAGGTTTGTCAAGGGGAGGTCATGCCTGACAATTCTGTTAGAAATCCTTGAGGAGGTATTGAGCAAGATAGAAAAAGGAGAGCAGTGGACATGATCTTTTTGGATTTCCAGAAGGCCTTTGACAAGGTGTCACACAGAAGGCTGCTAAATAAGATAAAAGCCCATGCATTAGGGGCAAGGTGCTGGTATGGATGGAGGATTGACTGGAAGAAGTCAGAAAGTGGAAATAAAGGGTTCTTTTTCAGGATGGCAGTCGATGACTAGTGGAGTTCCACAGGGATCAGTGTTGGGATCACAACACAACTTTAATTAACAATCTGAATGAAGGAACTGAGGGCATTGTTGCTAAATTCACAGATGACACAAAGATATGTAGAAGGATAAGTAGTTTTGAGGAAGTGGGGAGGCTGCAGAAGGACTTCAACAGTCTAGGAGAGTGGGCAAAGAAGTGACAGATAGAATACAATGCGGCAAAGTCTGAGATTATGTACTTTGGGAGGAGGAATAGAGGCGTAGACTATTTTCTAAATAGGAAAAGGCTTCGGAACTCTGAAGCAAAAAGGTATGAAGGAGTCCTACTTCAGGATTCTTCGTTGGTCAACATTGCTGGTTCAGTTGGCAGTTAGGAAGGCAAAGTGCAATGTTAGCATTAATTTTGAGAGGGGTCGAATACAAGAGGAGGGATATACTGGTGAGGCCATATAAGGCACTGGTAAGACTGCATTTGGAATATTGTTTACAGTTTTGCACCCCGTACTGGTGTTGGAGGGGATCTAGAGGAGATTTACAAGAATGCTCCCAGAAGTGAAGGGCTTGTCATATGAGGAGCAGTTGAGGACTCTGGGTCTGTACTTGATGGAGTTCAGAAGGATGCGGGGGGAATCTCATTGAAACTTACAGAATACTGAGAGGCCTGGATAGAGTGGACGTGGCGAAGATGTTTCCACTAGTATGAGAGACTGAAGGTACAGCCTCAAAGTAAATGGACGATCCTTTAAAACTAAGATGAGGAGGAATTTCTACAGCCAGAGCGCAGTTAATCCATGGAATTTATTGCCACGGAGACTGTGCAAATCAAGTTCTTGAGTTTATTTAAGACGGAGATAGGTTCTTAATTAATAAGAGGATCAAAGGTTACAGGGGGTAGGTAAGAGAATGGGGTTAAGAAATGTATCAGTCATGATCGAATGGTGGAGCAGAATGACCTAATTCTGCTCCTATATCTGACGGTCTAATGGTTGTAGCACTATCTTTCTTCCCATGAGCTGCAGTAGCTCACCATTACCAAATTACTAAATTTGTGCTTTTGGAGTAGAAAGTTGATTCCAAGATAGGTCAGGTTTCACCAGAAACTCTACACTCTCTAAGTGTACTGCCATTCCAGAAACTATCAGCAGACGTATGCATGCCTAAATTTGTTCAAGGGGTAGTGCCTTAGGATGCTGCAATTTATAAGGAACATTGTGACAGTTGAGCCACATATTTAACAAAATTAATTTGCAATCACAGCCCAGCCAATGACTATCAAAGCTACTATTGGCGTTTTCTATCTTGCAGTGGCTTTAACACAAACTATCATTATGTATAAAGGGAAGAAAATACTACCCAACCCATTGTGAAAAAACAGTAAGTTCAATCACTAGAAGCAATAAAGAGGAGTGTGGTATGATTGTCTGTATTTATTGTCAACCTGGTGGAGGTTAATATTTTTTGTGTATAGATGAGGTAGCTCTTGTCTCGAGAAGCCACAGTCTGATTCTTCTTAGATACCTGAAGATGGTGGGATTAGCAAACTCCCACATCGTGAAGACATTTTGGTCCCACTGATATGGCAGGCCTTCATGACATAAGCAATGCCACCACTAGGTGGAGCATCACCATGCAACGTTGACAATTAGCCATCTTGCTTAAACCAGGAGTTTCCTACCAGAACTCATATTTCAACAAATTATTGTCCTTTTTTCCATACTTCTCAATAAATACATTATTTATGAGAATTCAATCTTCACCTCTACTAATAGATAAGAGATACCCTCAGTTTAGAGGTTTGAGGTTTCACGTCTGCATTAAAGCCAAGATATGCTACAAAGCTTTTGCTTCTAAATATTGTAAACTTCCAAAATCTCAGTCCAGTTAAACTTATGTAAATAAACTAAAATACAAAATTGAAGAGGTCAATCAGTTGTTATACGCAAGCATAACATCAGAGGTGGAAGTGCACATGCACAGATGAATCACAGTAGCCATATAATACTGAGTACATACCGTCATCATCATAATTTATGCAGCATTATACACCAAATGCACATTGGAATGTTAGCCGTGGCAGTTCCTGCACCTTGCCCTGTTGACATGTGATGTCTACAGAAAAACATACATACACTTGAATCATAGAATCCCCTACAGTGTGGAAACAGGCCCTTTGGCCCAACAAGTCCACATCGACCCTCAGAGCATCTCACCCTGACGCATCCCCCTACAACCCACCTAATCTACACATCCCTGAACACTAGGGGCAATTTAGCCCAGCCAATGCAACTAGGCTGCACATCTTTAGACTGTGGGAGGAAACTGGAGCACCCAGAGGAAACCCATGCAGACACAGGGAGAATGTGCAAACTCCACACAGACAGTCACCTGACAGTGGAATCGGACCTGTGTCCCTGGCACTGTGAGGCATCAGTGCTAACCACTAAGCCACCATGCTCCTACAATCCTAGCAAATCCATGTGCCTATTCATCTTGCTTCCCTCTGCATAAAAAGAACTTGATGAAATCACCTCTCTTTGCATTCACAGCACCCCAAGTATGGAAATCAATGATGTGCTCGGAGATGTTCACTATGTTGCCTGCTCCCTCTTAGAATTCTCTGGCCATGTAGAAGTTGAGCACAACAGCGACTTTTACATCCATTGGCAGCACTGTCCTCCCCTTGATGGGAAGCTGCAGGTGCTCTTGAAGGAAATGATGTGAGTCTGTGACCACCCTCTTCTTGAACCTGAGCCACCAAAGACACTGCTCCTCGGTGAAGTCAAGTTACAAGAATTGCTTTTTGAAAACCTGTGATGCTTACAGCCTTTGCGGATTGCCTTCCTCCTCCTTCTTCTTCGCAAGCTTTAATTCTCTGCACACTCTGCTTGATTTGTTGGTCATCTTCCATAAACAGAGGCACTGCAATTATAGCCCCATACCTCTTAAAACTTGTTGTATATAGGTGATGACAAGTTCTGCCTTTCCTGAATGGATGCATCAATTAATCAGGAACACTCCAAAGCCAGCTTTGCTACGATAGAGGTCAAAAGAACTTCAGCTGCAAGTTGGATAACTATCCCTTTAAGCAGTGAAAGTACCATTTTTCTTTTATTCACATATCTGATGTGGGTGTCACTGGCTGGGCCAGCATTTATTGCCCATATCCAAATGCCTTTGAGAAGGTGATGAGCTCCCTTTTTGAACTATTGCAGTCCATGTGCTGTATTGAATATCCATTATTGTCACATGCATCCCACATTAAAAAAAATACAGTGAAAAGTGTGCATTGTCATTCGTACATAAACACCATTCACAGAATAAAAAAAACTTAAAGAGAGTCCAACATTTCCTTCTCCACTGCTACAGCATGCCGCTGCAAGAGTCTGCCCTAGGCTTGCCAGCCCATGCTGCCAAGAGAGTGTGGATAAGACCCTCAATGCTGTTAGGGAGGGAATTCTATGATTTTGACCCACTGCACTGAAGGAATGGTAATATATTTCCAAGTCAGGATGGTGTTGTGCTTGAAAGGCAATTTGCAGATGGTGATGTTTCCATGTATCTGCTGTCCCTGTCTTTCTAGATGGTGGTGGTCTTGGGTTTAGAAGGTGCTGTCTAAGGATCTTTGACAAATTCCTGCACTACATCTTGTAAATAGGATACACTTTGCTGTTACACAGTGTCAGTGGTGGAATGACTGAAAGATTGTGAATGTGATGCCAATTAAGCCGGCTGCTTTGTCCTGGATGGTGTCAAGTTTCTTGAATGCTGTTGGAGCTGCATTCATCTAGGCAAGTGGGGAGTATTCCATCACACTCCTGACTTGCATCTTGTAGATGGTGCACTGGTTTTGGGGAGTCAGGAGGTGGGTTATTCCTAGCCTCTGATCTGCTTTTGTAGCTGCTTTATTGATATAGCTAGTCCAGTTCAGCTTCTGATCAATAATAACTCCCAGGATTTTTGATATTGGCGGATTCACAGATGACCTTACCCTTAAAGGT